CACAGCTCATAAATGTCTGGATGTTGAATTCTGGCTCCTTTACAACTGCGTTTTACTTGCTCACATTGAAGAGACATTTAGGTGGGAACTTGTAGGGTAGAGAAGGGAGAACATGGCAGAAGATTCACATCATAGTTATCCAAAGAGAATGAAAGCTTAACAATAACACCAAGTTAGATTTGATTTCTACTTTATTCTAAATTTACTGTTGCCTGCTGTACAAGGTGCTATGTTAGGTGCTGGGGATTCAGATGTTAATACAACCTACAAGATTTCTGCCCCAGTAGGATTTACAGTCCAGTGGAAGGTACACACAAGGGAGCAGAGCATTGCAACACAGGATAACATGTTCTCTTCTGGGCAAGGAGACACAGGAGACTGTGGGAGCAGGGAGGGCATCTGACCCAAGCTGAGAATAGCCCGTGGACACTGTAAAGGACCTTCCCTTCTCTATGATGCTTGAAAGAAGGAACAGTTGGTGTGGAGTTATTTCAGGGGGAGCAGATCTTCTTGTCTCCAGGACCACAGCCACAGCTTGGGATTCTAGCAAGGGCCCAGATGGCCAGACCATTGTACAGGGTGGTCTCTTGGAGCTTCTCCTCTGGGAAGGGCAGGGCTCTGGTCCTCCTGAATCTCTGCCCCAGGATTAGTGCGGATGTGGTAACATCCCCTAGACTAGGAGTCTCCACAGCCATCAGCCAGCACGTAGCTTGATCCCGGGCACGGCAGGAACCGGAGCACTCCCCCCGAATCCCATGTGCTCCCCTGCATTTCCAAGCCCTGCTGCAGTCAGGTGGGACTGTGTGACCAGCTCTGGCCAATGCTAATGTGTGGATTATTTCTGAGACAAAGTATTTAGTTGTGGATGCAAGACAACCCCCTCCCAGTGCCCCTTTCCTGCCACAGTGACCAAGATGGCTGAGCCGGTGGTACAGGCACAAAAACATGAAGCCTCCCTCAGCCCAAGTCTTGAGTGGAACCGGACCCTCTACCGACAAACAGCATGAGAGAAAAATAAACTTGCCGTGTGAAAGCATTGAGATTTGGGGGTTATTGATCAATAATACTGGACTGGCGGTGTTCGATATCTGGTGCAAATAGCTCCAGAAAATGATGGTTCAGTAGGAAGAAATTAATTCATTCCTGCCATTAGCAGCAACATCACTGAGATGTAATAGGAAAAATTGACCTCTGTCTAGTGCTTCATGATAGTCAAGGCATTTTCATGGGCATGATTTAATTTAATTGCTGAAACAGCAAGGAGATGTCAGTGAACTCAGACCCGTTTTAACCAGTTTTAAGGTGAGGCTGCAGGATTTCATACCCCCTTTCACCAAGCCATGGTGGTGGCTTCAGCCCTCATAACTGTCACCTGAGCACAGGTCATGTTGGAAAGGACCCTCAGAGGCAGGAGGAAGGACTTGGAAGCCACCAGCTCCCTCCCCAGATTCAGCTTCAGTAAGTTATCCAGAGCCGGCAGAGTTACATGGCCCCTTCCAGTCCTCAGCACAGGAACATGTGTTCTGATAATTACAGCACAGAAGGGAGGGACAAACACATGTTTTATGTAAAAATCATATCTTCCTGCCAGGCAAGCCTCCACTGAACTGGGATTCCTGTGCTGACTCCCAGCGACCTTACTGTCTTTGAATCACAGCTTCTCACTAAGGCCACATGGTGTCAACTCAAGGTAATACTTTTAAAGTCATTTGTTTTTGTGGATACAAAGATTGTTCATGTTCATTGTAGAAAATTTATAAAATGTAGAAAAGAAAAAAATAGAAATCTTGCCTAAACTCAACAACCAGTGACACCCACTGTTACAATCTTGGGCTTGCTATGCACCTTTCCAGTTTTCTCTGCCAAAATTGTTGTCATCCAGTAAGTACTATTTTGTAAACTGATTTTACAATCATTATATTGTGATCACTTACCCATGTTAATTTAATATTCTCATATGACCTGATTTTTAGTGTCTGCATAGTGTTCTGTCATACTATATCATCCCCCTGTTATTGGACATTCGTATTTTTAAAAACGTCCCTGCACAGATAAAGTTGTGATTCACGTCATAGTGCATACATCTTAGTACATCCATGTGACTCTTTCCTACAAAAACTGAAGTCCTGGGTCAAGGAATTTGGACATCTTAAAGACTTTTTCACACTCATGTCAGATTTCCCCATAGAATGAGTAGGCCTCCAGCAGGATAGGTGAGTCTCCATCTCCTACACCCTCACTTTCATTGGACAACGTATCAGTCAGGGTCCAGTTAGGAAAAAGGAAAACACACTAAGCATTTCAACAAAGAGAATTTATCACCGGGGATTTGTTTTACAGGCATCAGAGGGCTACAAAATGAAATGAAAACACTGAGATAACTCAGAGTAACTGCAGGAAGCATGTCCCACCCCTAGGGCTGCAGGAACAAAGAGGTAGAGCAAGAATTGTTGAAATTTGTAAGTTTGAAGCAGGTGGTCCCCATGGAGCTGGAATGCAGATCTCTGAGGAAAGGCTGCAGCTTACTGCTGCTGGTGCCGTAGGAGTTCATAGAAAAATCCATGCAGAACTCTGAGAGGTAAATGTTCCTGGCTAGTGTTGGTACCTGTGAAGGGTATGATGAAGTGATGTCTAATGGGGGGGGGGGAGGTGGAGTAGGGTGGGGGAAGATTAAAAAAAATTGGAGATGCCAGTGTGAAGAACCATTACTGAGAAGACCCTGACAGTATCAGCAAGCAAACCAAAAGGACCAGGTCCTTCTCTTCTTTCCAGTCTTGCAGTCTCTCTCTAGTGCCCACTACGGACAGAGTCTAACATGGAGCCAGCTGACATGAGAGATGGGGTTTGCACGGTCCCAGCCCCAACCTCACAGAGCAGAGCATAGAAAGGGAGACTTCTTGGTTGAGAGACAATAGCCTAATAACCACATATCATTTTTATTTTTCATCACATCACATATTTAATTTTTGATAGTCATCTTTTCAATACTAATGATTCAAAGCAAATTAAATAAGAGTGGTTAGTATAATATTTTGATGACTTAATAGCTTTATAAAACACAGGTTTGATTTCAGATCAAACTGGAACTTCTCTAAAAGCAAAACACCAAGTCACTACCAACTGACATTTATTTAAAGTACTTCCTCTGTGCCGAGCATTCCTCTCAGCAGGCCTGTGTGTTACCTCCGTTACTCCTCATTTTACAGTTGGGGAAATCTGAGGCTTAGAGAAGTGAAGCAACTTGCTCAAGGTCACAGCTTTGAAACAATGACGAAGAGATTTGTACTGACAGCCTGATGTCAGAGCCTGAGCTCTCAGCCACGTCTCTGCACTTCTCCATCCCCTTTACCTTTTAGGTGACACACTGGTTCTTCCTCTGGCCAGGCCCTGTGGGTGAATATAACAATCCCAGATTCTTGCCAGAATCTTGCTTACTCCATGCTGTGGGGCCAGTTGGTAATTAAGACTGCATTCTCATGTGATGCATTCAGCACTCCAGTAACCAAAACCATACCGGTGAGGACCACAGGGGGATCTCATCCCCAGATTTTAATCTTTGACAAGCAATCACAGCACCCTGGACCGGCAGAGCTGCAGTAAAGGTCTTTACCAGCTGTTTGAATCTCTTGTAGGACATTTCAATAAACAGTTGTTTGGACTTTATTTGAACAATTTTCATGACCTGTAATATCCCACTGTGCCATGTGGCTTCTCTATTTTCAGATAGCCCTAGTTAATAAAAAGTTCTTACTTGCAGAGAGTTAAATCTGTTACTCGAACTTTTGATCGTTTCCCCTTGAGCAACATGGACAGCTTTGCAAATGCTTGAAGGCAGCTATCACATCAGTTTCCCCTGGTGTCATGGTGAAGAGCTCATGTACTTCTGAAAGTTGCAACGGTCTCAAACATGGCAGCATGGATGAGCAGAGCTCAGATTTGTTATTGGGGAAGACACATGTAGAGGAATGCATCTTGGTAGTTAAGAGCACAGGTTTTATCATCGAACAGAATCAAACTAGCTCAATCATTTCCTACTTGTGACCATTTAGTAGCTCTGTGACCTGGAGCAAGTTGCTAAACCCAGCAGGGATGCTAGGACCTGCCAGACAGTGATGGTGTGAGGATTCAGTCGGCTAAGGCTTATAGGTGCTTACCATAGCCACAAAGGAGGTGCTTGGGGAACGAGATCAAGAAAGTATGTTGATGAAAGACATTAACTTTATTTTGCATATAAAATTATGAAAATGTCTCTTTATGGCAGTAATTCTCACCCAAAGTCCATCCATTCCATCCCAAAAGATCAATTTTAGGCTTGCATAACAGACTGTTTGCCTTCTGAACAGACAACTTTAGTCTACTGAAACAGCTGAGATACAGGACATTTGGAACCCCAAGATCTGAATCAAGATCTGGTTCTGTCCCTTACACTGTGATCCTGAGTACACTGAACCTTTGTTCCTCACTCATAAAATGCTCCAGCATAGCTAAAATGTCCACCTTGAAATACGATGGAGCAATTAGAGACAACAGATTAGAACACAGAGCAGTGTGAATGGATGTGAAAACATAGTGCTGAGTGAAAATTAAAAAGGTGATCAGCAGAATGAGAAATATAACAATGCCATTTATATAAAAATCAAAACAACCACACAATGTATATCACCCATGCAAACTACAGAAATTCAATGTATTGCAAGGCTTGTCTGTGAGAGGAAGCAAACGCAAGCAAGTTGGGAAGTTTAAGAAGCATCAGAAATAATGACAAGAGGGTTTGCAACAGATCTGTAGTACGTTAACAAATAAATTGGATAATTAATAAGATGGGAAGAGTGATGCTTCCTCACCTGATGAGGATCTGATGAGATTATGCACAGGAAAGTAAAAGTTAATTTACCATTTCCATCATGATCTCCATATAGGACAGATGAACTGAGCAGAGATAGAGATTCCCCATTGATCTTCAGCAGGAAGCCATCAGCAGGGCAGGGCCCAGTGAGATGGTGAGATGACATCAGGGCTCTTGATGAAGGAGGAGCAGGCTCTCTGTCACTTCTGGAGATGCCACTTGATGGCACAGCCAGAAGTGGCAGCAGCCTCTTCCCATGGATCCACAGCAAATGGCCCCTTCAGGCCCCCGGAAGAAGAGACCCAGGCAGGTGGGTGCCTCAGTGGCCTCCCCACCTCATGACATCAAGTTTCAGGATTTGGTCCTCTTCATTTTGGAGAAGAAAATGGGGACCACCCGTAGAACCTTCCTCATGGAGCTGGCCCGAAGGAAAGGATTCAGGGTTGAAAATGAGCTCAGGTAAGACATCACGGATTCCCATTTGTGAATAAGCAGGGCTTTTGCAAACAGCTTCTTTGGAACCCAAGGAACCTGCGTTTTCCTCCATATACGCAAGAGGTGATATTCCCACTGGGAGAACTGGAATGAAATCAAAGAACCAATGTGAGGCAGTCAGCTAAGGAAAATAAGATGAGTGGGGATGTGATACAATTTCATTGAAACCAGTTGGCACTAAAAGACAAGGTAATTTTTTTGCCCTTTCGAGATTATAAGATGAGAGGTATCTTAGGATGATAAATAGAAACTGAGTTGGAAAGTTCAAGTTTGCTATAGACCAAGGTGAACAAAAGCACCACTGAGTTCAATCAGAGACTGTCAACTGCTTTGTGGCAGAAAGAAAGGTTTGGTTGTGCTGGCTGTGCTGAGTGAGCAGTGTTTGTGACGGGCAAGGCTGAGTGAGTGACTGTAGCTGGCTCACCATAGGCACCCAGACGTGGCTTTGATCATGCTTTTCTGAACAGCAGTCTGAGTGTGGTTTGTAGAGAGAGGGATGCTGGTTAAAGATTCAAGGGCGGCTCTGCCAAGGGGGATGGACACCACACAGAGCGATGAGCTCAGAGCCCAGAGGAGAAGGCAGTGGGAGCAACCATGTGTTGTGACTGGTTCAGTCACAAACCCTCTCACATCCCAGCATTAGTCTTGCTCTTTTTCTAACTATGTAAGCTCTTCACTGGTCTCAACTAGATGGAATAGAAGACAAAATAAAATGCAGACACAAATGGTATTAAACCTTGGCATAAATCATTCCAGACGGAACTACCAGAGGGCTTCAGATGAGTAAAGGATGATTAATGCAATTGGCTGACTTTGACTTTGATTATCCAAGGAATAGGTTGACCACATTTTTTTTTTAGGAAAAACTACAAGAATTCTATGTGAAAATAAATTTTTATTTTAAAAAGAATCTTTGGTGTTTAAAAATTAAACTGACAAGCATTTCCTGATGAAATGTCAGCTTCAAATTGCTAGAGAAACATTTGTCAAAAGTCAATAATCAGATATGATAATTTTCACAATACCCGTAATTCATATGAAGAGTCAATCTCACAGAAACATATTATTTTATTATTTTTACTAAAATGCCCCATTCAGAAATCCATGAGTCTCCCATGGTCTCTCTCATCTGACATCTTTACATGGTGTTCTTCCCCCAGCCCCTGCCTCTTTTTTTCTTTTTAACCCCCTGTCTTCTTTGGGATATTAGGTTAACATCTCTTCCATGAAATCATAGATTTCACCTAATTGTTGAGTCTGCCCAATTTTACAGACTTACACGAAATGTTGGAGTTAGAGGGGGAAAAGATGACATGGGTGAAGTGGCTAAAAACCGAAATTGAAAAAAAGAAAGGAAATTGAAAAAGCAGAAATTAAAAGCCTTAGCAAATACGCAGCTGCTGTGTGCGGTTAAGAAATTTGGGCCAGGCAGGAAGGTGAGAGCCGGAGGATCAAGTTACCACTTACACAGAAAGCTCTCTGTTGAAACATCCACACTCCTAGAGAGGGCTGACGAGTTTAGTTACAGGCACAAATATGCACATGGTGGCTGAGACAGGTACTTGGAGAGATGACGGGAGGCAAGTTTCTTCTTTTGGCAAGAGAGCCAAGAGGCAGCTTTGTGCCCCAGATGCCTGCTGCCAGGGACCGAGCCCAGCTGTTCAGGCGACAGAGGAAACTGGTGCACGGGGAGCCAACTGCTGCTGATGTGACGGTGGCAAAGTTCCCAGGCTGACTGCTCAGAAGACACATTAAATACAAATGTGTTTTATGGCACAGAAATAAACCACAGGAAGTAGCTCTCAAACAGAATTTCCGTACATAGTCATATAGACTTCCATTGGAAAGGACAATGGAAACTATTATAGGGGAAAATCTCTAGATCATGAATCTAGAGACTTCCAATTCTTCCTCTGACCCTTCCAGCTATGTGATGTGGGGCAAGACCCCCTCACTCCTCTCTGATGTTACTGCCCTGATAAATGGTCTTGTCCATATGGTGTGACACCAAATGTGATGGATGTCAATGCACTTGGGTAAATTAAAACAGTTATACAAATGTAAAGTGTGGTTGTTTCCTTGTTGCTTAGCTGGATCCATTGACATTTACAGTAAAGCCCGAAGGAACGGGCTCTCTCTCCACAATGTGAACCAGGTCAAATGATATAAACAAACAGGACAAAGACAAGAAGAAAACCCATAAAATTGTTGTAAGTGGTTATTTTCTGGGGAGGTGAGTGATAGGGAGAGAATATGGCTGCTTCTATGCTCTGTGTTTTCCAATTAAAAAAAACTAATACATTTTAAAATAAAAATTAAAGAAGTTGTTTTTTGAAAGAAAGGATACTTCTCAATAGGGATGGCTACACCTCTCCTTTTGATATATAAGATTCAGAGAAAGAGGAGCTAAGAAAAAAATATGCTTTGATAGACAGGAATAGACAGGAATCTCCATAGTTTCTAGCACATTCTTTGGTTGCTAGGAGCATTAAATTTGAGGAAAACTCTGATTCCTACTTTACCTGGACCTGAACAAACAGCTTAGAAATGGTATACCTGGATGTGTTGAATTTTCTGGAGCTATTTCATTTTCCAGCCTATGTGCACTGTATCTTTATATTTGGATTGGACTTCATTAATATTTATGTTATATTGCATAAGACATGCCATTCCATGTGGCATAGGAGGCTGCTTCTTAAAATATAAATCAGGGGATATGTCAAGTTCTTTGAGGCATTTTAGCACATTTGTTCAAAAGTTCACTGAATTTTATTCCATGGCCAACATCCTAAATGTTAGAGCAACTTCATAATCTTTGAGTTCTCTGGGACAAGCTAGAGAAGGATCAGAATGTAGTGTTTGTCACATTCTTATTTTATCCTTGATTCTAATACTTTGGGCTGTTTTAAAACTTTATCTGCATCAGCCCTCCTCATGAACATACTAGCTAAGCCTACTATCCATGCTTTGACCTACACTGCTGATGTGGAAGAAGAAAGGGCTGTGGCTAGGAAGGGTGGCTGTCCTGGGCTACATCACCCAGCAGTTTTTAACACTTGCTGAGTTCCACTGTTCAAGCAGTAAAAACCCATCAGAGGATACTATGCCCTGCTTGGACCTCCATAATTTGTCTACAGGGGTACATTTGGAAGGCATTGCTTTTTTTTTCATAGTTTGTTTGTTTAATATTGAAGTACCATCAGTTATAATACATCAATTTCTGGTGTACAGCACAAAGTCCCAGTCATGCATACACATACATATATTTGTTTTCTTTAAAGATTATTACAAGACATTGAACATAGTTCCCTGTGCTATATACGGCAGAAACTTTTTTAAAAATCTATTTTTATTTGTAGTGGCTAACATTTATAAATCTCAAACTCCCAAATTTTTCCCTTCCACCCCCTTTTCTGCCTACTGGAAGGCATTGCTTTTAATGAAAGCAAGATATAACATTATGGCATTACAAATAAAGGGTCCTGTTAGTATCCGCTCTGCACAATATTTGTCAGGTTCTGGACACACAAAATAGTAGAAGACGAGCCCTGTAAGCAAAGAGTTTACAATCAGACAGGGGAGTCAGGAACTGTACCTTTGTTTTTACCTAGCATGGAAAGATAGCATAATGTATTTTCCAAGTATGTAACAGTCTTCCTTTTTTAAAAATTAGCATTTCCCTACTCGACCCTTTACTTTCAGCCTTCTTGTGTCATTTTGGTTGAGTTATATCTAACCTGCCTGTCTGTTTCCATCCATTCCGTGGTCCCTTGCACCACTACCTCCTGTCACAGAGATTCCAGAAGTGTTTCTCCTCTGAATAAGCAGCAATTAGCAAATCCAGGTGGCCAGGTCACATGGACCAACCCCCTTAATGCCCCTCCGTGCCTTTCCCTTAGCACACTCCAGCCTTTAAGAGGTCTCCTGCCTTCTGTTTCCTGGAAGTTGAGTTCCATTCATGCTGGATCTTCTCCCACATTGCAATATTTATTACTGAAGAAGGTATCTTTTTACTGCTTTAACTAGCAAACTAGCGTCCAACTTTACTTGTCTTTGACAATATCCTACACTTCAAATTTGCCATGTCTGAAATAAAAATATTAAAAGTCATTGTTTGCAAAATAAACTGAATACCGGAGGAAAGAAATAAATTACCTACTCTAGAAAATACGATGTTGAACGGGCCCATCTCTAGGCCCTGTCCAGGTCCAATGTCCAAACATCTCTACTGACTTCTCTTAATGTTTTTTCTCACCCTTTCTTTCCCTCCTCATCCTTGAATGCCTTCCCCCTACGTCTCTCTGCATCTAAGAACTAAGACCCCTAGCAGCCTCCCCAGACAAGGGAATTTCCTCCCTGGACACAGGTGTGATCCTTGGCCTATGGTTGGCCCCCGGATCTCCCACTTGGCTTTGCTCCTCACCCCATCCAGTTGCCCCTCCCCGACTCCACGAGGGCAAGGTCATCATCAGGGCCATAAGTGTAGACCTCATTTCAGACCTGTGACAATTGTCTTATGCAGAGTAGGCTTCAGGAAATATTTGCTTGAAGAATGATTTATCTGGTGAATATGAAACCAACTAAAGGAACTATGATTACCAGGAGTAATTTTTGTCATTGAATTTTTTTCCTACAAAGCACCAGTATCGTAATCAGCAAGATAATGAAGACTATTTTTTTGACAAGTTCAAGAGCATGTAATGTAAACTGAAGTCCTGCTCTGGTCCAAATATTTCAAAATGTATGGACTTTTATGAAAATGTTCATAGTCTCATTTAATGTGGGCCATAAAAATCAAGGCAAGACTCTCTCAGTCTTAAGCATATCAAGGGCTGGAAATAGAACCATGTTTAACTGGTGCTGGTTAGAGTGTGGGATAAAACCAAATAAAACTACGTCCATTATTCGGTGTCAGGGATTCTGAAACAGATCGTTTGCTAGGGAAATTGGCGGGAGGGTTTTTA